TGAGACCTTTCTTGTTTCTTGGGAAAGGCTTGTATTGCTATATACTTTCCTCTTAGGACTGCCTTTGCTGCATCCCAAAGATTTTGAACAGTTGTGTTTTCATTTTCATTGGTTTCCATGTATTTTTTTAATTCTTCTTTAATTTCCTGGTTGACCCATTCATTCTTCAGTAGGATGCTCTTTAGCCTCCATGTATTTGAGTTCTTTCCGACTTTCCTCTTGTGATTGAGTTCTAGTTTCAAAGCATTGTGGTCTGAAAATAGGCAGGGAATGATCCCAATCTTTTGGTACCGGTTGAGACCTGATTTATGACCTAGGATGTGATCTATTCTGGAGAATGTTCCATGGGCACAAGAGAAGAATGTGTATTCCGTTGCTTTGGGGTGGAATGTTCTGAATATGTCTGTGAAGTCCATTTGGTCCAGTGTGTCATTTAAAGTCTTTATTTCCTTGTTGATCTTTTGCTTAGACGATCTGTCCATTTCAGTGAGGGGGATGTTAACGTCCCCCACTATTATTGTATTGTTGTCGATGTGTTTCTTTGCTTTTGTTATTAATTGCCTTATATAATTGGCTGCTCCCATGTTAGGGGCATAGATATTTACAATTGTTAGATCTTCTTGATGGAGAGACCCTTTAAGTATGATATAGTGTCCTTCCTCATCTCTTATTACAGTCTTTGGTTTAAAATCTAATTTGTCTGATATAAGGATTGCCACCCCAGCTTTCTTTTGGTGTCCATTAGCATGGTAAATAGTTTTCCACCCCCTCATTTTCAATCTGGGGGTGTCTTTGGTTCTAAAATGAGTCTCTTGCAGACAGCATATCGATGGGTCTTGTTTTTTAATCCAGTCTGTTAGCCTGTGTCTTTTGATTGGGGCATTTAGCCCATTTACATTCAGGGTAACTATTGAAAGATAGGAATTTAGTGCCATTGTATTGCCTGTAAGGTGACTGTTACTGTATATTGTCTGTGTTCCTTTCTGGTCTATGTTGCTTTTAGGGTCTCTTTTGCTTAGAGGACCCCTTTCAAGATTTCCTGTAGGGCTGGTTTTGTGTTTGCAAATTCCTTTAGTTTTTGTTTGTCCTGGAAGCTTTTTATCTCTCCTTCAATTTTCAATGAAAGCCTAGCTGGATAGAGTATTCTTGGCTGCATATTTTTCTCATTTAGTGCTCTGAATATATCCTGCCAGTCCTTTCTGGCCTGCCAGGTCTCTGTGGATAAGTCTGTTGCCAATCTAATGTTTCTACCATTGTAGGTTACATATCTCTTCTCCCGAGCTGCTTTCAGGATTTTCTCTTTGTCTATGACACTCGTAAGTTTTACTATTAGATGTCGGGGAGTTGACCTATTTTTATTGATTTTGAGAGGGGTTCTCTGTGCTTCCTGGATTTTCATGCCTGTTTCTTTCCCCAAATTAGGGAAGTTCTCTGCTATAATTTGCTCCATTATACCTTCTGCCCCTCTCTCTCTTTCTTCTTCTTCTGGGATCCCAATTATTCTAATGTTGTTTCATCTTATGGTATTGCTTATCTCTCGAATTCTGCCCTCGTGATCCAGTAGTTGTTTATCTCTCTTTTTCTCAGCTTCTTTATTTTCCATCATTTCATCTTCTATATTACTGATTCTCTCTTCTGCCTCATTTATTCTAGCACTTAGCGCCCCCATTTTTGATTGTACCTCATTAATAGCCTTTTTGATTTCTACTTGGTTGGATTTTAGCTCTTTTACTTCTCCAGAAAGGGTTTCTCTAATAACTTCCATATTTTTTTCAAGCCCAGCTAGTATCTTTAAAGTGATGATTCTGAACTCTAGATCTGACATCGTACTAATGTCCGTATTGAGTAGGTCCCTGGCAGTCGGTACTACCTCTTGTTCTTTTTGTTGAGGTGATTTTTTCCGTCTTGTCATTTTGTGCAGAGGAGAATAGATTAATGAGAGAACAAAATGCTAGCAGAGTAACCACGTCCCCAGAAAATATACTCTAAACAAATCAGAAAAGACCTGAAGCAGTGGGATAAGAAAGGGAAAGAGAGAAAAAAGAAAAAAAAGAAAAAGAAAAAGATAAAGATAAAAACAAAAACAAACAAAACAACAACAACAACAAAAAAAACCAGAATGTGATCAAATATGATCTATATGGTATATAGATCAGTGCCACACACTAGATTTGGGGTGTATTTTGGTCTTTTAGAAGAAAGTGCCTCCCAAAATTTTAAAGAAAGAAAAACTTCTATATGTACAAAAATAAGGGTTGATATGATGAAGGGATGGAATATGACTGTAAAAATGGAAATTATAAAAAATTTTATAAAAGGAATTGATAAGAAGTTGTTTGAAAAAAGAAAGAAGAGGATTTAAAAAAAGAAAAAAGAAAAAGAAAAAAAAGGGAGAGAATGTGATCAGGCAGGGGAATAGAAAACACCATATACTAGAGATTTAGGGTATATTTTAATCTGTTAGAAGAAACTATCTCAAAATTTTAAAGAGAGAATAACTTATATATATAAGCCAAAAATATGGGTAACTACTATGAAGGGATAGAATATGACTCTAAAAATGAAAAATAAAAATGTTTTTTTTAAAAAAGGGATTGATAAGATGTTGGTTGAAAAAGGGTAAAAGAAAAATTCAAAAAGAAATAAAAAGACAAAAAGACAGTTAAAAAAAAATTTAACTTTGAAAGACTAAAGAATCATGGTAAAAAAGCCATGAATTCTATGTGCAGTATTCCCCTAGTGCTGGAGTTCTGCCGTTCTCATTGATCGGTAAACTTGGTCTTGGCTGGCTGTTCTTGCTGATCTTCTGGGGAGCGGCCTGTTGCCATGGTTTCCAAATGTCTCTGCCGGAGGCGGAATTGCCCCGCCCTTGCCCCCTCCCGCCTAAGTAATCTGCTCGGGTTTGCTCTCTGGGGCTTTTGTTCCCTGCGAGCTTTCCGTACAGCTTTGGAGGCGGAGAGTGAAAATGGCGGCCTCCCAGTCTCCGCCCCGGAGGAACCAAGAACTCGGGGTCCCGCTCCTCAGTGAGCCCCCAGAGAAAAGCAGTCGGTCACTCCCGCCCCCCCATCTCCATCCACACTCCGTGCTCAGCCGGCCTGTGACCGCACATTTCTATCTCCGGCACCCGACCCCGGGTGGAGTCTCCAAACCCAGCAGATCCCTGCGGTGCCCTCCCGCGCGGCTCCTCCCGGGGGAGGAAGGTGAGTCTCCCCGGATCTGCCGCTTGTCGGGTCCCTGCTGGAGGAGCAGGGGCCCGACTGCACCGCGGATCACGGTCAATGGCAACCCCGAGCTGAGGGCCCACGCCTGGGCTCCGCCTCTGCAGCCGGCTTCCCCGCTCCGATCCCTGGGAGCTCTGCCGCACTCAGGCACCCCCGGTCTTTCTGTGACCCCAAGGGTCCTGAGACCACACTGTCCCGGAGGGTTCCACCCCCCGCTAAGCCACCAGAGTGACGTCCCTCAGCGGAGCAGACGTTTAAAAGTTCCGATTTTGTGCTCCGCGGCTCTATCACTTGCCAGAAGCGGCCGACGGAGGCCCCTCCCCCGCCATCTATCCTCCCGAATATCGCCTCCGAGTCACTTCTCCGCACGTCCTATCTTCCAGAAAGTGGTCGCTTTGCTGATGAGAGAGTTGTTGCTCTTCTTTTCTTCAATCTCCTGTTGAGTTTGTAGGTGTTCAGATTGGTTTGATCCCTATCCAGCTGAATTCCTGAGAGGAGACGAAATCCAGGTCTCCTACTCCTCCGCCATCTTGCTCCGCCCCAAAATGAGCATCTTAAGAGTGCTACTTCATAGTATTTTTGATAGTCCATGTAAAGTCTTTGCTGCCTGCTACATATCAAGCACTAAATAAATTTTATTTTTATTTCTCATCCCCTATGTTTTAAATGGTGGTGGTGGTGGTGGTGGTTTTCTCTCTCTCTCTTTTCCTGAATGCTCTTTCTTTTTGTCTCATTCTTTTTACACTTTAGCTTCACTGAACTATTTTACTTGCTTGCTTTTCTTGATTCTTTTTACTTTCCCTATATTTGTTCATGCATAGATGTGCTAAAGGAAGGCACTGAGTTGCCACCAGCAGGAGGTCTGATGGGGAACTCCCGTGCCCAGAGTCATTGCTCATAGGATGTCAGGTAGCTGTGGTCTCTGCATCCTGTGACCCTGGCTGGGACAGCAACAAGACATGTCCACTACTTACCTACTTACTTAGCCTGAACAAAAGGGGAAAACAAGCCTCTGAGAAAGGACTGAGGTGTAACTATATGCCCCCAGTGGAACACAGGACAGCTGCTTGCCAGTTAAGGACCCCTCCTCTAACTGACATAGGCTTGGTGAAGAGGGAAGGGGGTGACCTTTTGAACATATGAACAGAATTACATTCTGAGGCCTTGTTCCCCTCTTGGAATTCGGTCACTTCTGGCTGATAAAAGGTGAAATCCAATGATGCAGAGCCCCTGTTCCTTGTTGAAGCAATTTCTGGAGAAAGTCAGAGCGAGAGAACGGAGGAGATAGACAACAGTCATTGATTAGGTAGAAAGCCACTATTTACCTGTTAACCTAGAGCTAAGCATCAGTCAAGGGTGAATGGTCAGGAAAAGATGTTCTCAGTTTAGTATAGTTTTGATACCCTACTTACCAAAAAAAAAAAAAAAAAAGTATTCGAGAATTCTGCATAATGGGAAGTGTAGTGGTACCATTAATTAGAAAGACAGAAAATGACAGTTTGGGGGATGTGACACATGTGTTTCACGACCTCCTAAAGAGGCCTCTCCTAACTGCCTTCATTAATTAGGGTTGCCAGCCCCACACCCCAGGCTGCATAAGGGCAGGAATCTTACCAATCATGTTCAGATGTATCACCAATGCCCAATGCAGTGCCTGGCATATCATAGATGTTGATAAAATTTGTTGAATTAATGAGTAAATGAGGCAAATTTATTATATTAAATTTTCTCTGTATCTGTTCATTGTGTTTCCATTCCCTTGACTTTTTAATGTTTGTATGTAAGCACCATGAAGAAGAACAATAGGAACTCTACCACAAGGATCAATGAGCAAGATGCCATCTCCGTCCCACCCTCCCAAGATCCAGGAGATCTTCAAAATATGTTGAATGGAGGAGAGTATGCCGCTTTTGTATCTCCTCCCATATTAGAGAGCAATTTTATCCAGGTAAATAATAGTTGAGCCCTGAATTAAGTTCCAATAACTTCAGTGATTAATTTTCTCAAAGAAATTGAAAAGATTAAGAGGAGAATTATTTTAAATGCGATAAAGGAATGCGTGAGACAATTAAAGGGAACGATTTTGGGACTTTAACCAACCTAAAATAATTATAATGGTAAGGAAAAACTCATTTCAAATTTTCCCAGCAAACTCTCACCTAGGAATTCTGTTCTAACTCCATCATAATTGTCATTCTATCATAATCTTCCCAAAATGACATGAAGAGATTACAGGAAATTCAGAACGTCCTACCACAGGAAAGCATTCAGATAGCTCCTTTCTTAGATTTAGAAGACATTTTAAAGAATAACATCTATGACACAACTGGGTATGTAGCTCTTAGTTCTGAAATTAAAAGATAATTGTCAAATTGTGAGGGAGAAGAGTTTTCTTCTCATAAAAATATACCTACATTATGAATGAAACTACATTTCAATGCATTTGAGAGCAGTTCTCGCTTTTCTCTAAACACTCAACATTAAAACCTTCAGACAACATTAAAGGGGAAATGAGTTCACTGTTGCAGGCCATACCCCTAAACTGCACAGTGAGGCCACGACCAAGTGTAACACGAAACATACCCATTCAAGCAGCTCCTCAGCTGATTCTACAGAGGGGAGACAGGGGAGACAACAGGTACTTCTTCCATAAATGTGTTCTCTGCCCTGATGCCTTGGGCTTGAAGGAGACCTCCTCACCTCCAGAACACCAGAGGCAGGTGTTTAAAGAACACATTTAAGTAATGCCCAGAACACATGTGATAAGTCATGATTTGATGATTTTACCTTCTATATGCTTCTTTCCTACTAATAATCTTCCTATTTTATTTTTCACACTTCTTCCTACACTCTTTTCAAATAACCTTTTGCAGGCTCTAATGAACCCTGGGGGAGGTAGGTAGCACTCTATAGACAGACATGCCGCATATCATAATTGGGTAAGTTATTCCCTTCAACATACACAACCTCTCATGGTTAGTATGTCTTTGGCAGCAAGTTGCCACAGGTCCCTGACCCGACTTTAAACAAAAAAGAACAACAGTTATGTCAAAGTAAAAGAGCCACAGGGCATCAGCTCACTTGCAGGGAGTCTTCAAGGACCCAGGTCCCTCTCTTGTGCTCTATCACCCTCGAGTTAGCTCCCCTCAGGACATTACAGGCAAACAGGACAGTGACAGTTGCCAGAAACAGAAGAGATGCTCTCATCATAGCACCTTTCTGTGAGGACTGAGAAACCTTTCCCAGAGGCACCAGGAGGCCCCCACTGTGTCTCATTGGCCAGGCCTAGGCCACATTGCCCTGCTGAAAGCAAGCACTAGCAAGGGGATGAAAATCACCATGACCAGTTGAGGTTTATCAGTATTTAGCCCCTGAGCCAGAGCACCATCCCTCAGGGGCAGTACTAGATGGATTCTGGATTCTGTTAATCAGGCATGGCTCTGGGCAGGTCCATAGTATGGGCTGCAACCTCTTTCTGACGGGATATATATATTATATATATATATATATATATATTTAGTGATTTTTTGTGTGTTTTTGAGTTAATGTACAGCTGAGAAACCAGGTGTTGCCCCTCTCTGGCTTCTTTCACATCCCTGTCTGGCCACTTTCCAGTATTCTTTTCTTCCAACTGGCAGAGATTTTACTGGCCAAGATTCTTGGACTTTGGGATTTTTGCATATGCTGTTCTTCTGCCTGAAAATCTCTCCTGTCCACCCAGCCAGTTTAACTCCCACATTGTTCGGGTCTCAGCCAGAGGTCTCTTCCTCAGAGGAGATTTCTCTGACCCTATGTCTGGGGTGTGCTGGAGCTGGCTGACTGGTAAGTGTCCAGGAAACCTGGAAGTCCATTGTTAAACACGGGTATTATTAAAAATCAAATCATATAAACTCATGTACTCAAACCTCATTGTTCCTATTATTTTACAACATTTTACTATTATTTATGCTCTTAAGGTTACAGATAAAAGAGTTTGACAAAGGTCAATGAAGACTTCTGTAAGCATCAATTGACTATACTGAAATAGAAATAAAGAAAGCTGTGTATATAGCATTATTTGTAAATAATAAACATATGCATATCTTCCAAGAGATAGTTGTTACACATTTACCAGCACACCACTACCGGTCTCCCCTTTTAAATCAAGTCTCCTGCTATATGCCTTACAGCACAGCACCCTGAACTTGTACTTGGTAATACTTCCTGCAATAATAGTTAGTGACATACTTGTTTAATGTTCACCTTCCCTGATAGAACCCCTATGGCCCAGGGACTGTGTCTGTCCGTTCACTGTGGTATCTCTAGGAATTCACTTCAGCAAGTGATTGAACAAATGCATCATCACGGTTCATTTCTACTTTATTTCCTACACTGCTCAGGTAAGTGCAGTTGTCCGGGCCATGCACTTTAGCAGAAAACGCCTCTTCCTGTTCTCTGCCTTAGGTTAACAGGAGAGGTGAATCCATTTACCTTCATAACCGAGCCAACTGGGTGACTGTAGGCATCTGCTCTTCCAGTAAAACCCACAAGACCCCCAATGTGATGCTTCTGGCACATCTGACCCCTGAAGTTCAGAAAGATACAGAACCCCTGTTTCAAAGTCTCCTGACATCTCCTTCGCCAGAGAACCTGGTGCTCACCAGGTGAGTTACAAAGGGAAGAGGCTAAGGATCTCTCAGAAAATATGCTTTACCCCTGAGAAGCTGAAAATAAAAACACCAATGGCATTTGCTCCAAGGGAGCTTCTCACTTGCACTCTGCTACAACTGACAGTCAGTCATGTCCTTAAAGTCTGGGAAAATAGCTTATGACAAGCTAGCAGTCAAAGAGGTATTTAATTTTTAAAAATCAAACCTAAGTAACAGCAACTGAAGATCCATTATGAACTGCCTCTCTAGAACAGGTCCTTCCTTCCCCAGCATCCCAGCTTCCATCAGAATTTGCTCTGGTCTTGTCTCAAGCCACTAACTTGCTATGTGACCTAGAGCAATCACTCAACTTCTCTCAACTTTGCAGGATTAACGAAGCCCAACAACCTCTCGTGATAAGTAGTTGATACTCTGATTTTTTTTAGTTCATCAGAGTCTTAGGAGTATGATTTGAGTGAGATGGCCCCAGGGAGCCTGGTTCCATGTGCTAAAAATCAAAGTTTTGAGCCTCAAAAGCTAAGGGCCAGATCTGGGAACATGGTGGCCACAAGAAGGTACCGCCCAACCCCACGCCTGCCCCAGCCTGGGCCTGTCTGGGAAACAAGCCTGTTGTCCTGCATCTCACTCAGCAAACTGCTATACAACAGAGAAGGAAAGGCCTTTTTTTAGGTCTCCAGTCAGGCCTTCAGACGACATTTGTGTTGGTTTTCAGGTTTCTCCCTCTGCAGTTTGTGACTCTTTCTGTGCACGATGCTGAGAATATGCGCCTCAAAGTAAAGCTGGTGAGTGGTCGAGCCTACTACCTACAGCTCTGCGCCCCGGCATGTAAACAGGACACCCTCTTTTGTCAGTGGGTGGAACTCATCTCCCTCTTGAATGACGAGAAAGCCAAAGCTTCCAAACTGTCAGAAGTCTCAAGCCTCTCAGAAATCACAAATAGCACAGACATCACAGGCTCGAGGGACATCATGGATATTGCAGCGTTCACAGCTCTACAGAGCCCACCCCTGTGCACATGTTCAAACCCCGTACATACTGCAGAAAGCACTGATTTCTCAGATTTCACAGATGATGTCACCGACATCACCGATGTCACAGATGTTCCAGAAAATGAGGTCAGAGAGGCCCCAGATATAAATATTGTCACAGAAGTCACGGAAGTCACAGACCTCTGTGACGTCCCAAACTGCTCAGAGGTCACAGTGGTGTTTGAAAATGATGACATACTAAGGGCCAAGCAAGAGGAAAAGGTAAGCGACATGGCAGACTTTCATTCTTTAATAATCAAGAACAAGAGTGATAACCAAGATCACTCTTCTTGGTTAGCTCCTTGACACTGGTTATCAAAATGCTATGGAATGTGCTCTGAGTAACCTAATTTTAATAATGGGATATTAGCCCTGAGCCCTGGTATAAAGGAGTTGTAGGATGTATCCTGAACGAGGCAGGGACTATCCTTACCATCAAATTTAACCCAGTGTCAGAAAGCTATGGTGGGATGGAAGGAACTTCAGGACCAGGGTCAGAAGACCTGGGTTGGACTCTTGCCCTGCTGCATAGCTGTTTGGCCAAACCACTGGAGCTGCATGAGCTGCATGAGTTTCCCCGTCTCCAAAATAAGGATATTAATGTCACATAACGGCTATTTTAAGGTTTAAATGTGTATAAAAGTATGCACTACATTGAAGGATGGGGTGAAATTTCAATGGGTAAAAGTGAGGGTGGATATAGAAAAATAAAGTGCCAAAAGAAGTGAGTGGCTTTAGAAAAGGCTAGTAAGTGGAAAAACACAACCGTATCCAAGAAAGTTTAGTTCAGTTTGGCTGGAGCATAATATATGTGGAAAATATTAGGATATAGTTTTGGAAAGTTGTTTGCAAACCTTGAATGCCAAATCAAGAAGCGTGGACATTGCTCTTTGGGCAAACTTTAACCATAAAAACCCTCTGTGTGAGGGAGTGAAGGAACTGTGTTTTTAGAAAGATTAATCTGATGGTAGCATCGATTGTAGATAAAGGCATAAGTTTGAGGACCTACTGCTGGAAAACCTCCATGGGGCCCGTGATAGAAAAATCATAAAGGGCAAGGATAGACATTTTACAGAAGAAGAAAACTGCCAATAAATACACTGGAGAAAGTTAAACCTCACTAGTAATCAAAGGAATGCAAACTTAGAAAAAAAACCTATAAAACTGTTAATTGAAAGAATAAAAATAGTCAATGTTAGTAAAGGTGTGGTCAACTTGGGATTCATATAGATTCATGGTAGAGATAAGAATTGGCCCAAACTTTCTTGAAATCATTATGAATCAAGGGCCTAAAAATGTTTATACCCTTTGACTCAGTGATTCCATTTCTAGGAATCTTCCTTAAGGAATTAGTCAGAAATAAGAATGAAGATTTAGCTGTAAAGATGTTAATTATACCAAATCTATACCATGTTTGTCAAAATGAAATAATGAAAATTTGGAAGGAACCTAAACATCCACCACAGGAGAATCACTAAACTGATACAAATCCATGAAGGGCAGGTGCTGTATTAATCTTTTTCAGGAGTGATCATCGCATCTGACAAGATCATAGACAGTCAGTAAATATTTGTTAAGTGAAAGACTACTCTGTAGTTATTAAAATTGTTGGAAAAAATTTTCTTTACCTGGAGAAATTTTCATGATTGAAAAAAGTTGAGTGAAAAATGAAATACCATCCCTATTATATAAAAATACATTTATATGCTCACAAGCAATAGGAGGGGGAAAAGTCATATTATTAGCAGCAGTTTATTTCTAGATTGTGGAATTATAGGCAATTAATGTTTTCCTTTTCACACTTTTCTGAATTTTCTGTTTCCTACAATAAAAATAATTTTAAATCCAAAAAAATTCAAGCAGTTTTACACACAATTTTTTTTTTTTAAGATTTTATTTATTTGACAGAGACACAGCGAGAGAGGGAACACAAGCAGGGGGAGTGGGAGAGGGAGAAGCAGACTCCCCGCCAAGCAGGGAACCCGATGCAGGGATTGATCCCAGGACCCCGGGATCATGACCTGAGCCGAAGGCAGACGCTTAACGACTGAGCCACCCAGGCGCCCCTTTACACACAATTTTTAATGACATGAGGAAAATGCTTTTAATAAATTGTCAAGTGAACAATGTAGGATATAGAACTGAAATGTTGTCACAAAGCAGACACATAAAAAATAAATAAAAAGACAAAAAGCCTGAATGAAATGTGCCATAGGAGTAGTTATTTCTTGCCAGTGGCCCAAAGCAAGCAGTAATTTTCTCCCTTTCACTTTATATCTTAAAGGATCTTCTAAATATTCTATAATAAATATGTAAATTATGTGTTACATCCACTGACGGAAAAAAAAGAGTTTTTTCCTTAAGTAGGAGGGGACTGTATTATTTTCCAGGGAAGTTAATAGAGGTGGTGGATGAGGTGGTGGCTATGGGAGGAATGCGCAGATGTGAGAGGACAGTAGAGAGACACAGTGTTTAGAACCAGCTGATCAATTGCTCAGAGGCCTGGGACAGATTCTGAGGAAGGCAGTGAGTGGCTAGGAGAGGTGGTCCATTAATACAACCCAGGAAATTAGAAGAACAGGTAAAGATTTTATGGTATTAGTTTTAGGTATAGGTTCTAAGTCTCTTGAAAAACGACCTCTTTTGTCTTAGTGTGAACCTCCTAACTCATGTCACCTATTAGATACTCTTTTTTTTTACGATTTATTATTTATTTGAAGGAGAGAGAGAGCATGCGTAAGCAGGGGGAGGGGCAGAGAGTGAGGGAGAGAAAGGGAGAGAAGCAGACTCCCCGCTGAGTGTGGAGCCTGACACAGGGCTTGATCCCAAGACTCTGAGATCATGACCTGAGCTGAAATCAAGAGTCGGACGCCTAACCGACTGAGCCACCCAGGCGCCCCTCACCTATTAGATACTTTTAAATTAAGAGCAACATCAGATTGGGGAGGAAGTGGCAAGGTATTTCTAGACAACCTTCCTTGCCCTGACAATTCAGAAAAAGGAAATGCTATAATTAAGTGCTAATTTTCTGGTGTAAGCGGACGGACAGTGGTGTACCTGGCCACATGAGCTTCTGAATGTGCTGTGTCAGGTCCCAGACTATCAGCCTCCACACAACACCCAAGCCTTATTCCCTCAACATTGCGCCTGTGTACTTGAGGGAACTCAGTAGATACGAATGAAATGATTACTGTATTAGATATTTTTGCTCCATAAATCATCTATTTCTGTGTGAGTTTCTTCTGTTACCTGATTTGCTGCTGTTTATTATTTTCAAAGGAAAGACTAGGAAACACTCTGAAGTCTGGGTGTCTACGAGATGCAAAAACTAAGAACGAGCTCAGAGAACCCTCAAAACATGTCACCATCTCAAACGTAACATTGACTTTCCAAGGTGAACAATGTTTTCATACTACCTTGACTCAAGAAGAAAGTGAGACAAGTTCATTCAAAGGGATGTGTGCCAGATCCTCTGAAATAAGGACAACTGAATTTAAAAGCACAGCTCTCGAGGCTGAGGAATCCAGGTATGTGAGGCAGGGAAACTCCAGGGGTGCTGAGACGGGGAGTAATGTAAGTAAGTATATGCTCTCAAGTCTCTGCCACTGTGGCATTTGTTGCTGAAGATTCTCAGCTATAGCTACAATGAATGATGACATAGTCAACTCTTGATTATCCACATTTGGTTTAACCTCACCTAATTTTTATTTTCCTGTCAACTTCTCACACCATGCAGCTCACATTCTAGACTACCTGGCATCAGCTGTGTGTGCTAAAGAATATAGGATAAAATCAGGGTGTCCACGTTTTGGAGTTAAGGCACTCATCTCCCAGAGTGACTTATGGATGCTCTTCCTTTTATCTTTGTACTTCTCTCCATGTTCTTCTCTACATATTTCTTATGCTTTTCTACATTTCCAACAAACAACTTCATAATCTGAAAAAAATTTTTCATAATTTTATTTATTCTTTTTAAAGATTTATTTATTTAATATTTTAAATAGAGAGTGCAAGCAGCGGGAGGGACAGAAGGACAGGGGGAGAGAGAGAGAATCCTGGAGCAGGCTCCCAGCTGAGCACAGAGCCTGACTCACAGGACTCCATCTCACGACCCTGAGATCATGACTGAAGCCAAAATCAAGTGCTGGGCGGCCAACCGACTGAGCCACTGACTGAGCCCAACTGACTGAGCCCCTGTTTTCATCATTTTAATACTCAAGTGCAAGCTGAATGTGAGAGAGCACTGCTGTATTCTAAAGATAAAAGTTAATCCAACCATTTCAAAATAACACCTAAAAAGAAACCAGAGAAACATGTAGAATTTTAAATGCTTACTTGAGCAAGAGTGAAATAGGGAATGTAATGAATTATGTCTAAAATCTTTTTAAATATAAAAAAACAAGCAGGAGAAAACAAAAACCAAAAAAAAGAAAGAAATGAAAAAGATTATAAGTAATTTGAAGTGCTATGGAGTTCTTCAAAAAGAATGACAAAACAGGCAAACCACTGGACAATTTTTTTAAAAAAATGATAAAATTAGGGACGCCTGGGTGGCTCAGTCAGTTAAGCCTCTTGCCTTTGGCTCAGGTCATGATCCCAAGGTCCTGGGATTGAGCCCTGCATCAGGCTCCCTGCTGAGCAGAGAGCCTGCTTCTCCCTCTCTTCCCTGCTTGTGCTTTCTCTCACTCTGTTTCTCTCTCTCAAATAAATAAATAAAATCCTTAAAATAAATAAATAAATAATAAAATTAGAAATTTAAAATGTCATCATCAACTAATAAGAACAATAGTAAAATGTTATTGAGAAAGATTATATACAACTTTTCTTTAATAACTTTGAAACCCTAAGTTAAATAAATGACTTTAACAAAAATGCAAGAGAACATTGGCACTTGAGATCACAGAAAAAATTTATCCAAGAGCTCCCATAAAAGAAAAAAAACATAGCTGTGACTTTTACTGGACAGTGTTTTAGATACTAAGAATTACCTCTATTTAATGTAAAGTTTTCTTTTAAATAATAAAAAAAATTATGTTATGTTCTCCTAATTTTTTGAAGTAAATAATTTGTCTGGATTATAAAGCCTGAAAGACAACACAAGAAAGAAAATTCTTGATTAATCCTACTTAAGACAATAAATGTTAAATTCATAGAATCTTAGCAGGCAAAATGTAGCGAGCTTAATATAAAATTAAGGAAACTGTCAATATGTCATTGTTATTTCAAAGAAAAGCAGAAAAAAATCGTGGATGCCTTAAATACATTTGAGAGACTTTGATATTCTTGATAAAGAGCCACAAAATGCAGAAGAGTTCTCCTTTAGCATAGTAAAGAATATTTATTCTAAACCAGAGCCAACATTGTTTTTAATGAAGAAATTCTAGAAGTGTGCTACTTAAAACTTAGAACAAATTGGAGGTGCGGAGGGAAGTAAGAGGAAGGCGGCCCAAGCGCGGCCAGGCGGACCCGGCCAGGTGGGCGCTAGAGGCTGCGGGAACAGATGGATACGACGATGCTGAATTTGCGGAATCTGTTTGAGCAGCTTGCACGCCGGGGGGAGATTCTCAGTGAAGGAAATGAACTCCAATTCATCCAGTTGGCAAAGGACTTTGAGGATTTCCGTAAAAAGTGGCAGAGAACAGACCACGAGCTGGGGAAGTACAAGGATCTTTTGATGAAAGCAGAGACTGAGCGTAGTGCTCTGGATGTTAAACTCAAGCACGCAGCAATCCGGTGGATGTCGAGATCAAACGGAGACCGCGAGCTGAGGCTGACTGCGAAAAGCTGGAAAGACAGAGTCAGCTGATTCGAGAGATGCTCATGTTGACACATCGGGCAGCATTCAGCTAAGTGAGGAGCAAAGATCAGCTCTGGCTTTTCTCAACAGAGGCCAGCCGTCCAGCGGCAATGCTGGGAACAAAAGATTGTCGACTATTGACGAATCTGGTTCCATTTTATCAGATATCAGCTTTGACAAGACTGACGAATCGCTGGATTGGGATTCTTCTTTGGTAAAGACTTTCAAACTGAAGAAGAGAGAAAAGAGGCGCTCTAGTAGCCGACAGTTCCTTGATGGTCCCCCTGGACCTGTAAAGAAGACTCGTTCCATTGGCTCCACAGTAGACCAGGGGACATGAATCCATAGTTGCAAAAACTACAGTGACTGTTCCCAATGATGGCGGGCCCATCGAAGCTGTGTCCACAATTGAGACTGTGCCATACTGGACAAGAAGCCGAAGGAAAACAGGTACTTTGCAACCTTGGAATAGCGACTCCACCTTGAGCAATAGGCAGCTGGAGCCAATAACTGAGACAGACAGTTCCAGCACTCCACAGAGACACATTAGCTTTCCTCATGATTCACTTGCAGAGAGTGGCTCAGAGCCCAAACACTAAAATGGATGTGGCCAATCTGGCTAAAGTCTTTGGGCCTACCATAGTTGCCCATGCTGTGCCCAATCCAGATCCAGCGGTAATGTTACAGGACATCAAGCGTCAGCCCAAGGTGGTAGAACGCCTGCTTTCACTGCCCCTGGAATACTGGAGTCAGTTCATGATGGTGGAACAAGAGAACATTGACCCCATGCATGTCATTGAAAACTCAAATGCCTTTTCAACACCACAGACACCAGATATTAAAGTGAGTTTACTGGGGCCTGTGACCACTCCTGAGCATCAGCTTCTCAAGACTCCTTCATCTAGTTCCCTGTTGCAGAGAGTGCGCTCCACCCTCACCAAGAACACGCCCAGATTTGGGAGCAAAAGCAAGTCTGCCACCAACCTAGGACGACAAGGCAACTTTTTTGCTTCTCCGATGCTCAAGTGAAGTCACATCTCCTATTACTTGCCCGCATTCCCTGGCTGCAAGGAAGGGCGCACCTGTATTCTCTGCTCTGCAGCCTCCTGTACTCATTACTACTTTTAGCATTCTCCAGGCTTTTCATCAAGTTTAATTGGGCCTGGGGGTTTTATTAAAACTATATATATCTCCCTCTCTTTCTCCTCAAGTAATGTCATATCAACACCTTGTGCTGTCGTTGTTGGGAGCTTTTAGATGGGAGATCTTTACAGCGGTAGAAGGGAGAATATGGAATTCATTGTGACTGGGGGCGGGGGGGGGGCTGGGGCGGGCACCTCCCTTTGGCTTAAAGCCAAATGCTGCTCATGACTGATCCCTCTCTGGTGTTATTCAGAACGAATTTCCATGAGACAGTGACAGAAGCTGCACCTCTTTGGTTAAGACTGACTTGTCTCAGGGTGGGAGGTGGGAGGGCAGGGTAAAGAAAGGTTGGACAGAGGATTTAGGATGGCTCCTTCTGAGAACTTGGAGGTCCCCTTCCCCCAGTATGAACTCAGCTGTAACGTGGAGCCTTCATAAAAATGGATAAGGTGAGGACAGAACCAGTGATGGGGGTGTGCTTATTAGCTTCAATTCGGATTGATTAGGTGTAATAGTGTTAAGTGGCACAACCTTGTAAAAGTGATACTACAACTTGTATTTATCTCTAATGGGCCTCTGGCTGGACTTTGGTTTGCTTGGGGTCAAAGCCAGTTTGTATTTCAGTTGAATTCGTTCTGATGCTTGACCCTCCTGTCCCCTTGTCCATTGGAGCCCGACTTCTAAAGGTCCTATGCCGTCTATTTGGCGTCCCAGTTCACAATTAAGAGTAGGCTATAAAGGGACATTGTCAATATTTTGTGTGGCAAGAAAAGCCACAGTCATTTTGTCTTTGCACTTTGGTTGCTAAAATCTTCCTATGGAACATAGCCACATCTAGATAAATATGAACTTTTTCTTTTATTAAAATTATTTCCAATGTCTACAAAAATGCTTTCTTCTGTAGAATGTTTTTGACCCATAGTCACTTTTGTCTGTAAAACACCTATTTAGAGTAATATTTGGAAAAAAGTAAATCGTATTTTCAAAGGTTCTGTGAGGTTGGTTTTCTTGTCCTGGAAGGTAACCTTCAACGCCTTTTTAAAGAAAATATTTTTCCTCAGAAAAAAAAAAACAAAAAAACAAAAAACTTAGAACAAATTAAGGATGTTCCTATTAATATTTCTATGTGATATAATTTAAGGGAGTCTAGCAATTGCAGTAGAACAAAGAAATATGATAGATAAATATGAGATTTTTAAAAATCACTCTTTGCAAATGGAAATACATATTTAGAAAATTTGAGAATCATCAAACATCTTGGTTTGTAAACAATTTTAGGAAGGTTACAAATTATAAGATAAACTCACAAAATATTGTTTGTTTCATGATTTTTATTAACAAACCAAAAATGCGCTGAAAAAAGAATGTATTTTTCAAAAGCAGCAATAAAAATCAAATATTTAGTGAGAGTGATAAGAGTCCTGTATCTATGGAATTATAAAACTCTAATGGCAGAAACACAAGACAACTTCAATAAGGAAAACTAAGCTCTCTATCTGGGCAGGTATATTTAAGACAACAGAGATGATAAGGCCTAAATTAATTTAGAAATTTAATCCAGTACCAATTATCTCAGTATATCTCATAGAAATTGTACAATTATAGAAAGTATGTGGAAAAAATAGGGTAAGAATCTCAAGGAAACCATTAGGGCTGGAAAATGTCTAGAGGGACTCAGCTGTATAAAATCTTAAGCCATATTATAATTAAATGGCTATCAGAAACACCAGTAAAAAGCTTAGGATATAGAAATTAAGATAGTAAAAGAGATTCAAACTGATAAAGGTTCAAAAGAAACATAAAAAAAAGCAAAAGTCTAGAATATGTTGGTCAAAGATATATGTTGTACCACAAAAAAAAATTTCAGATAGGAAGAGAGTCAAATATTTTAAAACTAAAATAAACTAGAAGAAAATGGGATGGTTGAATTGCCTCAGTTACATAAGAAAGACCATTTCTCCTCCTTCGAAGCGACAGAAGAAATTTTCAATGGCAAAGTTTGATTCATTCATTCCATAATATTCACTGAGCACTTTCTATGTGCTAGGTGTGGGGATACGGCTGTGAAAATAAGTTAGAGGCGGTTTCATTCTAGTGGAGGATATAGATAATACACAAATAAAATTCATTATTCCAGCTGGAATGTACTGTGATAAAAACAAAAATAGAGTAACAGAATAGAAACAGGGATTTGAGGAGGAGGAAGGATATCTTATAGTGGTCAGGGACAGCTTCTCTGAGGAAGGGCAGAGATCTTGGGGAACAGAGTTCCAGGCTGATTGATTGTATATCAATTATAAATATCTGTGCCCCCAAATCATTTTAGGTAAATAAATACATAACAGTACAACAGGAAGAGAATAATAATAACTAGATAATCTATAATGGTTTTGCCTCCCATATATAGATAAGCTGATGGGAATTTGTAAAGGATCCAGTTAACAAATGGGTTAAAGTTATGATTAGGAAATTTACTCCAGAAGACAAACACTTAATGAGGAATGAATCTCACTAATAATTAAAGAAATACAAGTTAAGCAATTACCAGTTGGCTTTCAATTAGCTGTTAACTATAACACTGATGGGGTCACTGTACATGGTGGGAACTTTCTAGAGTGATTTGGCAATTCACACTACAAATGATTATACCGCTTGACTTAACAGAACATGTGTCAAAGAAGTAATTCCAAAGGGAAAATAACTTAATTGAACACATGTTTTATAGTTCAAACCTGAAAGTGATCTAAACAACCACTGGTGGAAGAATAGCTAACCAGAAAATATTATGTTAATTTAGTGGAACAGCAGATCCCCATTAGGGAAAGAATAGAGAATTTCAATAAAAAGACCTATATGACTAATAGGAACTGCAAGCTAGAAAAGTAAAATTCTGAAAAATGTATATACAATGGTATTTTATTTCTACAAAAGGATGATAAGAAACCACAGTGTTTGGGCATAGTTGGTGATTAAAGGAATTAATATTTGTTATAGCTATTGATAGATGTTTCCATTAAACTTTTATTGTACATAATCATTATTATGATTACATGCATAATTTAAAATCAAAACTGATGCTAAGAGGCTTTAATTGGATACATTAATTGGAAGACATAGCAGCTAGAGAATGAACTTTGCAGTCAGACAACCCTGGGTTCAAATCCTGCTTCCTTTATTCTTGCACAAGTTAAATTAATTTCTTCAGGCCTCAGTTTCCTCATTTGTAAAATAGGAAAATAGGAATAACACTGACCATGTAGAGTTGTTGCAGGGATTAAATAAGCTGATATTAAAAGGCTCACATGTCAGGCACCTGGTAATTACTCCAAAAAAAAAAAAAAAAGAATTGATTAAAATAGGGAGGGAAGGAAGGAGGAAGGAAGAAAGGGAGGGATTGAGCGAGGGCCCACAGATTCTAGATTAGATTGAACACAGATCTAACATAGTTTTGACTTACACTGAATATAGTAGAAAGATGATTCTATACCTCTGAAGTAACCTTTCTACTATACCATCCAAAAACTGAACCCAGAGAACTGAAGGGAAAAAGCATAAAACTGATTAAATACTTTGAATGCAGTAAAGAAATTGAGGTTATTTAAACTGAAGAGAAAAACTGTAATAGGTGACAATTACCATCTTCAGTGTACGAGGAAGTACAGATTTAAGGCTAAATTTAAAAAGTGGATTTAAGGGGTGCCTGGGTGACTCAGTCGTTAAGCGTCTGCCTTCGGCTCAGGTCATGATCTCAGGGTCCTGGGATCGAGCCCTGCATCAGGCTCCCTTTTCGGCAGGAAGCCTGCTTCTCCTCCCACTCCCCCTGCGTGTGTTCCCTCTCTCGCTGTGTGGATTTAAAGTGAAAATTATTGTAACTAAACACAAAGAAAATTTGATTACATAGTAAAACAATATAGCAGACAACCAAACAATAAAAAATAATTAATGGATATCATTGATTAGATATTAATAAACAATAGAACTAATTTCTGAAGGTTGTAGAACCTTTCTCCCTGGAAACTTCTCAAAAACATGCATCAGGCCATTTGTCCTGGATAGACTTCAGACATTCTCCTGCCAGGGATCAAGTCCCATTTGTGTTACGTATGTAATTTTAATCTACTGCTAAAATAAATGACAGAACGTATGGTGAAGTCAAATATAAGTATGTTCTGGAGATTCCTTAAAGGAGTGGAATGGAATGGAAACAGTTAATACACCTGAGTATGTTGTAGGGTTCTGAGAAATAGACTTATTAGATGCTCAGTAAATGATCACTATTGTCACTAATTATTCATTTCCAATAGTGTAGATAAAAGAAAGTTGGCTATTCTGTCTCAAAAAAAAACAAAAAACAAAAATAAAACCAGAAACTCTTACTCAAAAAATATCTTAAGCAACTGAGGATTAGTTACTCAAGCTGGCTTTCTTTTTAACCTTTTTTCCTGGCTAAGGAGGGGTCGAAAAAAGCAAAGGAATATGGGTGATCCTTAGGAGAACCACAGACCTTGAAATCAGAGCAATGTTTGCTTTCGCTTCTGGACTGCCACAATTCTGGAAATTCTAGAGCCTCTGGATCCAAGTGCCAACACATCCCAGGTGTTGGTAGATCTGGATAATGATTTCAGTACTTTTGGCTGTCTACTCAAACAAAGCATTAATATCTAGGGCTTCTTTGCCAATGATTCGCAATGTGTGGTTGGTTAGCATCATCACCTGGGAACTTGTTAGAAATGTAAATTCTTGGGCCCATCCCATCCTCCTGAATCCTAAACTCTGGCCTTCTGTGTTATAATAGACATCCAAGTGGTTCTAATGCACATTCAAGTCTGAGAACCAATGCCTTATGAGAAGCCAGTCCTAGACACAAAGGAGAGTTTAGCAAGAATTACTCTCTCATGCGGGCTTCTCCTGGGGTCCCATAGCCAAAATAAGTATTCCTTTTTATAGCCAGAGTAAGAACTATCAGTTCAAACTCAAGGGAGCCTTCTTCAGGAACTTTTCCTATATGACCAGGAGCTCTGAAATTTGGATTAAAAAAAGAAAATAAATAAATAAATAATTGGTTCAATGTTCAAGAAATTATCCTGCTTCGGATTGAGGGTGGAGAAGTAGCTGAAATAATATCCCCCAGAACACTGAGCTGTTATTTCTTGATGGTAACAACCACTGAATTCTTTTGGGGAACTAAACAATGACCAGAAGGGCTAATTGGTCAGTCTGATGTGTTAGAGGAGAAAGAAGGACAAAGACAAAGAAAAAACCAGGGGACAGAGTAAGGAAGGGAGATGGAAATATCAACCATCAGTTCAAGTAATGATAGGAGAAAGGAATATAAGACAGAGGGGATAGAAACAGGTGCCACTCAGTAGGAAATGTATTTCGCTACCACACATGAGTATGGCTTTCACAGAAAAGCATAAGATGTCTAAAAAACAAGATAAAAAATGAACCCATTCAATTTAGCAATGTATTCTAAATAATAACTGATCAGGCCTGATCACTGTGATGTCTTCCTTCTGTTTTGTTTCATCCATATGTCTCCAATTCTATGACCTGCCCTTATCTGAGGCTTCAGAAACACCATGATTCAAAATCTCACGAAGTTAACTGTTTACGTCATTTCACCTTCTTCTTTCCTTGCCCTTTTGCACATAATAAATGCCCTAAAGCATGAGATTAGCCTTTAGTGCATTAAAAAAAAAACTTTATAAAAGTAATAGGCTTTACTTTTTTTAAAGTATAGTTTTAGATTTACAGAAAATTGAGCAACTAGTACATAGAGCTCCATATACCCACCCCTCTGCCACCTCCTTACCTACCTCCCCTACCTCCAGTTTTCCCTATTATTAACACCTTGCATTAGTGTGGCATATTTGTTACAATTAATAAACAACA